TTCCTGCCAAGCAGGTAGCCTGATGTGGGGCTTGACCCCAGGACCTTGGGTCATGACCTGAGCCAAAGGCAGACGCTTAATGACTGAGCCACCCAGGTGCCCCTCGGGGTTCTTTTCTTTTCTTTCTTTTTTAAGACTTTATTTTAGAGAGAGGCCGATCACAAGAGAGTGGGAGGAGGGGGCATTGGAGGAAGGTGGGGGAAAGCGAGAATCTCAAGCAGACTCTGTGCTGAGTGTGGAGCCTGATGTGGGTCTCTATCTCATGACCCTGAGATCATGACCTGAATGGAAACCAAGAGTCTGAGCCACCCAGGTGCCCCAGTGCATATCTGTTCTTAATAACTCCATTCAGTGAGGCCCCAGAAACTACTTTTGTACTAGTGATGCAACCTTACATAATTGGTGAGCTTCATTCTTCTTACATATTTAAAACATGTGTATCCTTATCTTGGGGCTGTATTAAAGCAATCACTTGGTAACCTTGAGAAGAGAAAGACAGGAGCTTGAGGTGGTCAGCAATTAAGGAATTGTGAATAGTAGAAAAGTATTGGGAAAGCTATGACTGGTCTCTGGATCTAGAATGAGCTCATTGGACAGAAAACTAGAGCACTAGAAAACAAAAGTAATTTCTGATAATTATTTCCAGTCCCATCCTTTTTCTTTAAAACCTAATTCAGGTGTTGGGATAGACTCCCACATTGGGCTCCTTGCTCAGCAGGGAGCCTGCTTCTCCCTCTGCCTGCCACTCGCCCTGCTTGTGCTCTCTCCCTCTCTGACAAATTAAATAAAATCTTTAAAACATAATTCAATTCCAGAATCACCTTACTCTATTCAGGAAAAGAAACCATATTCTTAAATAACACTGACTTTTTTATATGCTTTACCTTCCCTCTCTCTTTTTGGGTTATGTTGGTGGTGAACTCATATATTGTTAGGCTCTAGATGTACAATAGCAAATTTGAATTTCATGCTCATACAGCTTACAAAATGAACAAAGGGATCTTTTAAATAATCGATGAAAACTGGCTCCCCATCAGCAAGGCTCTCATACTGATCATCAGTAGAGTCATAAACCTGGTGCCCATGCGTACAAATTCAGCGTTTCTTGCCAAAATTAGTCTTGCAGAAAAACTGGATATAAGTTGTTTCCCTGACTTCATTCACATAATTTCATTATGCTTCCAATTTAGGTACACCTCAGTTTGAATTTCCTGTTTGTGCATGCTCCTTCTCAATTGCTTTTTCTTTCCCCAATAACTATTTCATTTCCCAAGCTCTAAGTTATTGCTCCTTACTACTTTAAACCCATTAATCTACTTCATAAGAATTTAAAGGTTTTTTTTTGTAAATGTGTCTGAAATCAAATATTTATAGCTTCATCTCAATCTTTTTTGGATTGCCTCTCTTCTCCTGCTTTCCCCTTCATGGGACCCAAAGGAAAAAACAAACAAACAAAACCTTTATCAAGTTTCAACTTATTAAAATCACCTTCTTAAATCTTCACAGTAACAATGAAAAAGTAACACTGCAGGTAGAAAACTCAACTCAGGGAAATAAAAGTGACTAAATGAAGGTCACACAGACATAAAGTTGGAATTAAAGCCCAACCAAGTGTGTCAGACTCCCAAGTGTTTCCAATTCTCCATGCTGTTTCTTCCAAACCAAGCTAACTTTTTATTTCTGGGTACTCCTGCATCCTAGATTATGTTTCTTTTTCTTCCACCACATATACATTTTCTTCCATTTTCCTCCAGTTTTCTTAAAATTTTCCTATTATCTTTAATAGTGAGTGGCTTTATCTGAAAAAAATAATAAAAATCTTGATCTTGCCCATTCAGATCTAGAATTCATGATTCTAAGGTCACTCCAAAGTTTACAGGAGTACTCTTCATTTTCACAAGTTGAAGATAACCCAGCAATTAATTGCAGGAGGCAGTCATATCATTGTTCTCTGTATAAGGAATACTTTGCCTGACTACACATACAATCTTGAAAAGGGTTGAGTATCATCTCAAAGCAGTTTTTCTAATCCCCATAGAATTAATGTCCCTCTTACAGTAATCCTGTTCCACTTTTGTTGATATTTTCTGAAGGGCACAATCTCTCCAAACTGCTGAAGCTGGTAACTTTGTCTAGGAATTTGAAGTATTTATGCCCAGATTCACAGAAACTTTTGTATAAGAGTCTTCAGATCAGCTCACTGTCTATTCTCATTCCCTCCAGAGATGTTATAGGAAACTTTCTTTAAAGTCAGTCTTTGGGAAGCCTGGGTGGCTCACTTGGTTAAGCGGCTGCCTTCGGCTCAAGTCATGATCCTGGATCGAATGCCTCAGTGGGGAGCCTGCTTCTCCCTCTGCCTGCCACTCTGCCTGTGCTCACTCTCTCTTGACAAAAAAAAAAAAAAAAAAAAAAAACAAGCCAGGCTTTAAATTTATCTTCCTCCAATTTCCCCTCTTCCTTGGGACTTTTTGTTCATTAGTCTACCTTAACTTTCAGTTTAATGTAGTCATCTGCTTTCAACAATTCCACTTGCAGCTGATAGCATATGCAACGTAGGCTCAGGCAACAAGAAAAAATTATTAACTCCGCACATACAATTTTCCTTCTTGTTTGTCCCAACAGTACTCCTCCAAGGCTTGAATCTTATTTACCCTCTACTTCTTGGACTATACATGAATAGTTGAGTATAGTAAGCACCTCTTCCTCACGTTCTTCTTCATGCACCATTCACATAGGAAAGGATGTGAATTATTCAGAAGGCACTATTTCCATTTACACCAGGATGAACAAACTGTCAACTAACTCAAAGCCAGACAGCAAGTAAATGGTAGAGTGAAAAGAGCGACCAGGATTTAAATGACCCTTATTCTCGGAAGTTCTATTGTACTCAGTCCAAGGGATGTTCACAACAGTAAAATAAGCCGAACTGATATTTCCTACATCTAATGAGCAATTGGGAAATGGAAAAAGAAAAAGAAAAAAAAAAAGAAAAAAAAAAAAGGCAGATAGTGCATAAGGTTATGCTTACCAATTTCTGCAGAGGCAACTAAAATAAAAATACCAGTTTACCACTTTTCATTGTAACAACATAATTGTACTAAATTATTTTCAAATCATACAACAGAAGAACAATACTTTTTCTTTTGCTGAGTGGTCTTTGAATTGCCGCATGCAAATAAAACATTTAGGAAATCAGTGGATTTAAATATTCTGAGCCAAATAATGTCCCCTGTGTTTTCAGAGCTATGATTGCAACTATTTCTGGTGTATGTACACACATAACAGAAATTTTCTAATTTAAAAGAGGTACTGAATCATATGTCCTCCTAACAGAACATCTGATTACCCAGGTGGCATGTTCATTACTAATCCATGCTGTTTTGCTGGTACAGTAATAATTTACAACTCAGCAAAAGTCAAGAATTATTTTACCAATTTATCTTCTGCAGAGTTTAAGAAAAATGACCAGCAGAAAAGACAAGTTAATACAAAATAATAACCAAACTACAGAAAAGTAAAAGAAGTCATGTAGTTTTTAGGATCACTTACACAGTTCTCTGGTTTTAAAAATATTTTCCAGGGATGCCTGGGCGGCTCAGTTGGTTAAGCATCTGCCTTCAGCTGGGGTCATTATCCCATGGTCCTGGGATAGAGTCCCACATCAGGTTTCTTGCTCAGTAGGGAGCCTGTTTCTCCCCCTGCCTGCTGCTTCCCCTGCTTGCGAGCTCTCTGACAAATAAATAAAATTTTTTTAAAAATTAAAAAAATAAAAACATACATTATCTTTCTAATTCCCATTACGTAAATGAGCCAACAGGCTCAGCCTATGTCTGACACTGATGCTTCATCAACTTAACTCTTTAGGTCCAACCATACTATAGTTGGGTAGACTTTAGCCTTCTGAAATCTCAATTTCTTTACCTCAAAAACAGGATTAGAACTGAATCCCTGTAGCAACAAAATTCAGATTCCAGGTACAGTACCATGCTTGAAACCAGATATTCTAATGTAAATTTTGCATGATCCCAGGGATTTTAATTCTCAAAGGTACTGTAATATTCAAAAGTCATTAACTCCATCTCAGAATAATTTATATGCCCTCTTATAAACAATGATTCCATATCAAGAAAAACTTGCTTATGCTTGAATATACAATCATGTTCCTGAAAACTTGGGGAAAATTTTCTTAAAAAACTAAATCTTTTTTTTAATAAACCAAAGGAAGTTTTAGTAGTACAACCATCCCTTAATCTGTTCAGATTATGTTTAGATTTTCTTATGATTTCAATGAAGCACACATCACAAGTTCATCTGAACCATGATAAACTACAATCAACTTTTAAGACTTCAGTTTTCAAAGGGTTTAATTTAATGTTGGCTAGCTATTATCCATGTAATACATTAATAATACATTTTTTTTCTTTACAGGGCTAATTGACTTAATTTCTTTTTAACCACACAACATGAAACTAGTAAGACTGACATTAACAGTGGCATTATAATTTTCTTCATCGCCCACACCTATAATGTGCTTAATTTAAAGTTTTATCAGGTACAAAACTATCAAACTCCACTTTTTAAAAAAAAAATCAATGCTTGTGTTTTTAATTAAAAGGCATTTATTTAAACATTTAAAAAATGTCTACTCTGTAGAATATATGTTGATCATAAAAAAGTTCAACTCTTGGCTCTATAAAATATTCAGAAGTTGTTTCATAAAAAAATTAATGGTTATTTTGTATTTGTAGTTTTAGTTATTTTAATATTAAGTGCAGTATTTTAAACACTAAGTTACTTAAAAATGAGGGATAAACTGGCCTCTCAGTTCCAAATGCTGATTACCATGTCACCTAATATTATCAGTATTTCACGTTACGTAAAAAATATTTTAAAATGGCCTTTCTACTTATGCACTGAAACACAGAATAAAATTAACAGCATATTTTGATACAATTGGCTGTTAAATTTCTAAGATCAATTTTTTTCTCATAATCTTCTAGGTAATGTACAAGCAATCTTATGCAGAAATGGAAGAGGCTTTTGTATAACCAAAGAACACACTACGCGAAACATAACCGAAAGAAGACGACTACTTCAGAATGGAGCAATGATCAGTTCAAATGAACCATATGGGCTCCTAGAAGGGCAAATAAAAACCACACGAGGACTTGGATTTCATGGAAATCTCAAACTGAAAAAATCTATTATACCAGCACCTCAAACTATCTCTGTCCCTATTGATGACTTATGCCAATTCCTTATCTTAGCTACTAATGGACTCTGGGAAGTTTTGGATACAAAGGAAGTCACTGCACTGGCAATGACAATATTTCAAGTATATAAAGAAGCCTATTATTCTAACACAAAAAATCAATCTTTACCATCCAAAGAGCCTTTCCTAATCTATGAACCAAGCAATTCTGTATCAGAAAGTAATATCCATATATTGTTTCAGTATAAACCTGAATCTACAGAATGTGTATCAACTATAAATTCAAAGGAAGATTTGTTTGATTCAACATGTTCTAACCCTAAAAATGAACAGACATTTCCACCAGAAATGAGTAATCATCTTTACAGTGAGAAAGAAATCAATGGACCAACCAGTGTAGATGATGTGTCCAAAAATTCAAGTGAAAAAGAATCACGCACTGAAAGTTTCTATGAAGGTGCAGCCAAGTATATCAGCCATGAACTTGTAAGTGCAGCTTTAGTGGCTGGCTCCAGAGACAACATTACAGTCATGGTAATACTTCTCAAGGGAACTGAGTATCAGTTTCTGACTGACAAAAGATAAGGTTCCAATTATCAAGAGTATAAAAATGTAAAGACAATTCTTCAAAGAACCAGATATTAGAATACTTCAATACCACATAAATAATTTTTAAGAATGTATTAAAGAAACTATAAAAGCATATTTTAGGTTACATAATACCATATATATATATATATATATATATATATATATTTATTCACTGTTCCATGCCAAAAAAGAGAAAAACAAGTACTTGCTTTTTTATACCACTTTATTCCAACCTGAGCACCTCAATATAAAACTAAACACTGGTGAACTGTTTTCCTTACTAATTCTGAATTACTGTAAATGTACAAGTTCTGCTAGCAGTTCAACACTTAAATAGATTAAATCATCTCTGACACATGGTAGATTTCATATAATGAAAATATCTAAAACAATTAGTGCAATATACTGAACTGATCAAAATAAAATGAACTTTGGAAAACAAGCCTGCAAGATTGTTACTAACATACTGCAATACTTATGTTACAAATTACTGGTACATTGTTTATTATGGTTCTAAGCCATGTAGGAACAACAGAAGCCCCTTCCTTTCAAAGGGAGAGAAAAGGAAAAATTAGCTGTTTTAGTAACTGTACATTTTGTATACTTTTAAGTAATTCTTAAATATTACAGGAAAGTAATAAACATATATGGAGACTACAGTGCAGTACCCTATTTACAGTACAGCTGAAGATCAAATTTAAAATAATCAAGTTTGAATGTACATAATTGTTAGTGCATTGACTATATTATGTCCAAAGGGAACAAAAGCTCCCTCCCTTCCCCCAAACAATAAAACCTATGTAATGGCCAGCAGTGATTAAACAGAAATCACAGACACCTGGTTTGTTCCATTTCTGTTGAAGAGCTCACATGTTTGAAGGGAACACTATCCATTAAGATGCATTTATCAGTTTTCATATTCTTAAAACAAGATGAGGTTACATTTGACTTTTTTTTAATCCCACTAAAAATATCAGGACTGGCTATACTTTAGATACCACTAATGTTCATGTTTTTCCCCCTGAAGATGTGGGACTGTTTTCTTGTGGTTAATTTGTCAAAATGTGGAATGTACATTTTAAATATGCATACTAAGAAATTACCAGTTGCCTGAATACTGTAGCTAAGCATAAATATTTTTAGAACCTCCTTCTAAAAAAAGACTATTTTTGAAAAGCCCAAATTAATAAGTTCCAAATCTTTTACATAGAAGTGGCTGGTTAACTGTGGATTTACATCATCCTTTGACTCTATCCCTGGTGATGAGAAATGATTCCCTAACCGTCCAAGGAAACAAGCGTACACACACACCTCTCATTCCCCCCTTCTACTTCTGAAACATTAGTCAGAGGGTCACATGCATGTTATTAAAAATTAAGTTCAAAACACTTAAAATAATTCTGTATTAGAAACTTGACTCTATCATAAGTCTCTTCTTTTTGGAAGTCATACTGGGCTGGTTAAATGCTCCAATTCCACTGTCATTAACATTTAGGAAGCAGAAGAAAATTCCAGCAAGTTCAAACTGGAGGTTTAGTTACTACAACACTGACTCCTGGTTGGCTGTGTGGGTTCAGTAAGGTCTACTCCTCTTCCTCTTGCAGAATTTGCTCCTGGATTCTGTGGTTCATTCTTTGGCAACTTTTTAGCTGAGAGATAAATTATTAAAATACACACAATTAGAATATTCATGTTCGAATTACTTTCATCTGCTTACTTATAACCTTTTTTTTCCCCCCCGCTGGGTTAACCCAAACTATCACAGAGCTATTTGCTCATTCTTTTGAAGTGTTTATTAAGTATCTACTAGATATTACCAAATATTATTCTTTGGTCAGTCCTTAGTGAGGTTAGTGGGTTGAGGAGGGAAGGGTAAGATGAGGAACAGTTAGAGACATACAATTAAAACTTAAGTTGACTAGAGCTATATTTAATTTTTTATATTCAGTTAGTATACCAGAATAGTAGTACTTTATTTCATAATCATTAATATCTCTATTGTTTAAAAAATCTAAGTCAATAAAGATGATGGCCAGTCAATGTTTATAAAGAATCTTAGCTTATATCAATGGTCTCTGGACTGCTACATAAATACTTTTTTACCAGTAGCTCTGCCTACTCTAAGCAGACTTGATTCTAAATGGTCTAACTCAAAAAACTTTCCCAATTCTGGGTTGCATGATCCTGGCTTGCCATGTCTGGATAAAGTCCTCAACAAGCAGTTATAGTTTTAGCTCTGCTAAGCTCTATATAGCTAATGGCTGTTCTCTGGAGCCTGGATCCCACTGATTTAAAAACATACCTGTTAGATGTAGTCTGCTTGAATCCCAAAGATTCTTCATGTGCTGCACTCACTGAATATTAACTATCTCTAGGAGTACCAATTATAAAGGTGACTAAAAATACTGGTCTTATCAACCCTGGGCAGAGACTACTACGGTTGAATTCTAGCTTTACCTTAGCCATGGCTCAGTTTACCCAAAAGTTGAACATGCTCTACTTCAGTATCTAAACGCTCAGTTGCATTTTGGATCTTTTATTTGTTTTAATATTTCACATCAACATTAATCATCTTAAGAATCAATGGAAATTTTGGAAGAAAAGCCTTCACCTTGGGCTAATTCTCTAGAAACGGTGCTAGGGATGGTAGGGTAAATGGTAATAAAATGGCAAATTTCTAGTGAAATATATTTTCAAACAAAGGCTTGTAGGGACAAAGAGTAAACTAGCATTTATAAACTTTATTATAATTAATACTCTTAGATTTTGAACTGAGATTTCTCCCTTTACCTTAATTTTCAATGAGCTTTCTGTAATTAGATCTGAAATTACAAGGTTGAAGGAAATAAAGTAGAATGAGAAACTTTTAAGCTTCTACTGGTAAACTTTTACTGTGAGAAGATAAAATAAAACATAACTCAGAGGTCTCAGAAGCAGTCTTTTGTCTCACATCTTATTATTACTTATTGTATTACTATAGTAAAGGTGATAATATTTGTTTGGTATATGGAAACTGGAGTTTACCAATTTGCCCCTAAATTAGGATTTTAAGAAGCTAAAAAAATCCCAGATCAAGTTCATGAAGACGTACAATGAAAGCCATGTGCAAAATCTTACCACATTGAAAGCAGATGATAAATTTATTGTAGACTTTCTCCCACTAAAAAGCTACTCCCTATAGGAAGTCATCAAGAGTGAAAATAACGAGTGCACTGTGTGATCTAAGTTACTAATCTGGTAAACGAAATAGAAAGGCCACAATTCAATTTAATGCTTGGTATTTCTTTAAAGGAAAGAAACACTGTAATTTTAGGAAAATAACGAAGTTCTAATACATAGGTTACTTTGTGACTGGAAAAATATATTAGCACATCTGAATAAAAAGTACAAATTAAATAAAGTCCAAAAGGGGGTGCCTGACTGGCTCAGTGTAACATGTGACTCTTGAACTTGGGGTCATGAGTTCAAGTCCCACACTGGGCGCAGATTACTTAAAAATAAAAAAAACAAGCAAGCCAGCCCATCTGGTGGTGTCTTAATACCATTAGAAAAGTTTAAAAGTTTAGCCTGATTTGATGGACCTATTATTTTCTTGACTTCTGTTACTAGCTTTTCAGATGTGATTTCTAGGTGTAATCTTATGTTCTATTTATAAAAAGAGCGTAATGTCACACAATCCTTCACAATTATTTCCCTAATAAACTTCGAGCCTGAGCTTTTCAGTAAAATATTTTACTGTACAACAGTTAAGTTTTTTTCCTATTGAGCCTAAATGGGCTACCATTAATTTCTCTCACTTAGTGGAAGATATTCTGATAGTATTTGTAGCAATTCAGCCTCTGAATCAGTTGTTACTTGGTTAATTTGCATGACTTCAATAAAAGGAATATTTCTTTCTTGGGCATTAAGTCTGTGGGCACCCCTGTTAATAAAAATGTTTTGGAATGAGAAGAGTGCTTGGTGCATGAATAGTGCATAGATAATAAAATGCAAGAGCCACCAATGTAGACAATTTCCCGATGCAGGACTTGATCAATCCCAGAACCCTGGGATCATGACCTAAGCCAAAGGCAGATACTTAACCAACTGAGCCATCCAGGTGTCCCAATCAAGAGTTTTTAAAAAGAAGACAGTTAAACCAAGTATGCCACAATGTAACTTGCTTATATCTACTGCTTGGAAAAAAACTTACCTATTGCCATGAATATTTCATTTACATTCATTGATGTTTTGGCTGACGTCTCCATGAATAATAAACTGTTGTCATCTGCATAGGACTGTGCTTCCTGTTTACAGAACAACAAAAAAATGATACACATCCTTTGCACGTACCTGACTTATTTTTGTTAAAGAGTAAGAAGCTTTTTTATTACTACTCCAACTTGATTACCTATAATCAGCAACTATGTAACAAGCAACTGTTACTAATTAAAGGTAAGAGAGGTAAGGGAACTCCTGTATGTACCTTTTCAAATTTCTTTTGCCTTAACTTCTTGCACTATCCCATACTGATTCTTCTGGTCTCACATCAAATTTGATTTCAAAGGGTTAAGTTCCAGAGGGTGGAAAATTAAAATTTTCTTCAATCTCCTGGGGGCGCCTGGTTGGCTCAGTAGGTTAAAGCCTCTGCCTCTGGCTCAGGTCATGGTCCCAGGGTCCTGGGATCGAGTCCCGCATCGGGCTCTCTGCTTGGCGGGGAGCCTGCTTCCCCCTCTCTCTCTCTGCCTGCCTCTTTGCCTACTTATGATCTCTGTCTGTCAAATAAATAAATAAATATTAAAAAATTTTTTTTCTCCAATCTCTATGGCACATTTTATTTATGCTTATCATTTGCAATGAAATCAAAGGGAATCCAAATATCTAATACTGGCCTCAATCACTAAATGGCTAACTAGACTTTAATTTTGAATACGTCATAAATCATTCCTTTAAAAATATTACTACTCCATATTTTTGTCATGCTTTACAATTTACACGTATTATTGCCTTGATCCTCAAGTTGTTGTGAACAGCAACCAATTACCTTTCCCATTTAATGAAAAAGATGAGTTTCCTTTGAACTGTTATGTGAGAAGGCCACTTCTGACTATAACTTAACTGTTCTATCTCCCCCTCTATGATGTAACCA